GAATCTGCCATCACCCACTTCTGAGAGCCACCAGCGTGGTGCAGTGCTGTGTGCCAGCGCGTTTCAGCAGCCCCCAAGCAAATGCTCGCACTGCAGCATCTCAGGTAGCTAAACATGGCAGCGCCCTACAAGCGCTGGAAAGCTGGTAGAGGGAAAGGAAAGCGAGGGTGTTGAAGGGGAGATAGTAAAGCACAGAATAGAAAGAGAGAGACATAGCATAAAAAGGAAACAAAAGATAGAAAGAGTGAGAAATAAAAATGAACAGAGATAAAATTTTAATAACGGACAGAGAGATAAGAGAAAAAAATTAAGGCTGCTTCGCATTAGTGGTGCCAAGCCCGAATAAAGTGTGAAGCCTTCTTTGTTTCTCTTCAGTTTTCTCTCTCCTCTTTTCTTCCTTGTTCTCTTTTCCAGTCTTTTTTCAGTGTATTAGTCTTTATTTTTATTTATCTTCCCCTTTTTTCCCTTCTTCTTCTTTCTCTATTTCTCGCTTGCTCTTTCGATTTTTATACAAGGTATGTGTTTTTATATATGTTTCCCTACACGTAGTACTAGTAACATCTGCACTTTAACAAGGTGCTTGGACGACAAGAGGAAGCAGACTTCTCTTTGGTGCGAGTGTGCGCTTTATATGCTAGAGTTGGCTAAGCTATATGGTACTTCTGCCTGCGTTAATATCATCATCAAGGGGCTCGAAGATGAGGAGGCGGACACATTAAAATCATCTTGAGGTGCTTGATGAACTAGAGGAAGAAGACTTCTCTTGGGCACGAGCGCGCGCTCTATTTACTACAGCTGGCTATGCTATATGTGGCTTTGGCTGCATTATGCCAAGTGGCGAGGACAGCATACGACAGTCTGGCCTCCTTAAGTGCCCTGCACTTAAAATAAGGAGAAACAAAGAAGGCTGTCCAGCTTCACACTTCCTTAGGCTTGGGGCAAAGCTGCCTCAATTTTTTTCTTGAGAGCGAAAGTTTTGCTTTCTCGTATTGAAGAATGCTTATTTAATATGCAAGTCGAATCATCTTTCTCTTAAGCATTGCTTTAAAATCACCAGGAGGGATAACTGAAGTCAGGTTAATAAACTTAATCATTGAGTGCTGCGGTCATCCGGCCTCATAAAGTTCTTTAAGGTATGACCATGGTGCACTGGAAACCTAATTGCTTGCAGAAAGAAATTAATTCCACGTACGTATAAAGTCTACTTGTAAATGCACACAAACTCCGAAGGTAATGCTGGTAAAAAGAGGGGAAGGAAACACATCTGTCAATGGCAGCAATAAACGCATCTTCTCCAAATCGAACATGTCAATAAATACATCGCATACTTTCTTTTTTTCATTTTATTATCACCCTTTTTTTTTGTATTGGGCTATTTTTCTGAAATAATATGTTTGCTTTTTTACATGTTATCAACATTACGACAAAATGTTACAATAACAGGCATGGGGCACACTTCATGAAGAGGTATGTGCTACTATACTTGATTGATAGATATGTGGGGTTTAACGTCCCAGAACCACCTTATATATGGTTATGAGAGACGCCGTAGTGGAGGGCTCCAGAAATTTCGACCACCTGGAGTTATTTAACGTGCACTCGTATCTGAGCACACGGGCCTAGAACATTTCCGCCTCTATCGGAAATGCAGCCGCCGCAGCCGGAATTCGATCCCACGACCTGCGGGTCAGCAGCCGAGTACCTTAGCTACTGGACCACCACGGCAGGGCTACTATACTTGAAAAGTATGTAGAAGAAACAGGGTCATATTTATAAACACTGTTTGTAGTTGAACAAGACATTTAGCGTTTCTTATTCCTGACAAGCCTATTATGATCAAACATGAAAGAATGGCCATTTGTATTCAACTAATTTCTTGATTGATGTATGGTATACTATATCTTCACTCAAAATGCACCAGTACAACTTAATACCCGTGCCACACGGGCAGAAAAAATGGCATTTACCCCCGAATGCCTTCAGATTTATTGCCATTCGCGCGGTGCCACACGGGCGAACAAAATGGCATTCATCCGAATGCCATTCGAATGCCATTCGCCACCAACTGCCTTCGCCAGAACTCAGTTGACTGAGAAATGCCTACTCTCGACGACACAGCTCGCGAAGTGCGATTTACCTGAAAGTATATAAAACAAATCATATTGAGCTAAAAATGAAATTTCCCGTCTTTTATTTGCACTAAAGTCTTCAAAAGATGCTTTGAACGTTATACGAAGAAAATAAAGTATTGATAATGAAACGCTTGTCAATTTTAGTCAAGGAGGATATAAAAACCTGCTGGAGTGGAAGCCGCCTATGCTTACCCATGGGAGGGGGGGAAGCCGCGCCGAGCCGCCGGCGGCCATCTTGGCAGAGGCAAGAAACAGCCGAGTACAGCTGCGCTCGCGCTTATCTAAGCAGCAGGTGCAGTTTCTCGCGTCTTCAAAGCAATAAAAACAGTTGTGTCAGGTTGTAAGCATTTATTCTTTGCTTTTTGGTGGCAAAATGGCCTACGATAACGCTTTGAGAAACTCGAAAATGGCAGAAAAAAACACAATCACACAAACATTAAAAATATATGCGAACAGTATAGCCGAAACGAGCAGTGCGGGGAGACTCACTGATGTTTGAAAATGATCATTCTTGAAAGAACTGGCCTGACCCTGTCCTTGATGATCTCGCGGTTTCTTTCTTTTGTCATATGGTGGATGCGGATTTTCACATACAGCTCCGCAATTTTTTGCACAAGCTGTAGATATGATTGTCGAGGGGATCAAGGTCAAGAATGTGCTGCTCTAGCTTCTGAAACCAGTTTTCCTCTACAGACAGTCGTAGCACTTCCAAAACGAGATGCTTTGACTGGGAGTTAACTGCTTGAAGTGTTCCACACTCAATCTGTAGCCGTCGCAGCCCCTTTTCAACGGCTTCACACAAGCCAATGACATCCTTGGACGGGGACACAAGCCCACCTCTGTTTTTCTGCTCAACTAGGGGAACTAGCTCATCTGAGTACAGGGCTGCAATGCACTCTTCGCATGTTGTTGTCTTGCACACTTGGCGTACAACGAAGCCTGCGATATAAGGCACCACCGCAACAACTACGGCAGAAAGGTTTTCAGGGTGCGTGTAGTCGTGGTCATCGTGAGGCTCCAAGATCGAGGACCTGCGCATGTCTGTGAGCGCGCTTGTTGCGTCTACCTGGGCGACAACAGTAGTGGCATTCAGGATGGAAACCATGTATTTGGTGCAGTTTCCCGAGCTAGAAGACGTCACTTCTGTTTGCACCAGCAAACGCTTGTATGCAGCCATGAACTGAGCAGCGGTTCGGTTGTTGTTATACCCACCTCGGCCACGAACAGATCCGAAGAAGTTCTCAGCGTCATCCTGGCTAGTTTGTGCGTCAACAAGTACTTCAGCTTACCCTGGCCAACAAGCTCGTCGAACATTTTTTCAGTGCTCGCCATGCAGATCAAGAAGCCCACAAAACCAGTTTTTTTCAAGCCTTCTAAAACTGGCCGCCCAGCCGGATCTCTCAATCCCTTTATATACGCTTGGGTGTAGGCAAAGAATGGCTTCCAGCAGGCTTCATTCTGCTTCCGCAAAGGAGCCTTGTACGACCTTGCGAAAGGGTTCCTAGAATTAAAAAGGTCGAACAGGTGATCGAAGACCCTCACGAACTTCGATGTTGCACTGGCGCCCCGGAACTGGGGTAGCTTCAGCACATTTTCACAGAAGTCCAAGGCGTCGGCCACAGAGGAACTCAATGCTTGCGCAGCATATCGCACCTTCATCTTTTGTTTTTCCCATTGCACGTGGACTTTCGTGAGTTTGTTGCCCAGCCGCAGCCCTTCGGAACGCTGCAATGCCTCCAATGCCACTATGTAGGCCGATTTTATGTGCTTTCCTTCAGCATCAACAATGTAGCTTAAGTTCGCCAAGGAATTGCGAATAAGCTTAATCATGTGGCAGGCGTCTAGGATAATGTAAACATTCTTAGCATCGTCAGCTGGGTTCACAAAGCTTGAAGAAATTTGCTCACAGTCAACACGAAGTTGAGCACCTAAACACCTGGCCATAGTGAATTCGACGAGGCTCCGTCGAATGTGAGAGAGACTACTTCAGCCTTCACCGACGCAAGCTTCTCAATGCACTGTTTGGCCAGCTCGGCCCTCTCTGCTCCTGTGAGTGAGTCTATTAAGAAGTATCCAACTGGCATCTTAAATCTGACGTTGATTCCAACGATCATGAAGACACACGCATTTGCAGCTTCAGGAAGACCGTCATCGTCAAGCCCAGTTCCGAAGTCAACATACCCTACTACTTTATCTCCAACTAGCTCTACGTGTTTCCTGATGGCCATGTCGTCTACAATGAGAGCGCAGTAGAAGGTTTCATCACGTGCTTCCGCAAACTTCTCAAGGAAAGCAAATGCTTCGGCTGTGAAGCCAGGAGCTCCTTGAATCGACTTGTACCAGCCCCTTAGTGTTCGCTGGGATGGGAGGGCTTCGTTTAACTTGGATCGTACATACTCGTACGCGGCTGGACTGTAAAAATGCAAAGTCAGTGCAAATGCTCGCAGCTCATGTGGGCGACACACCGGCAGCGCGCTTTCTGCCTCCGGCAAGATGGCTGCCGCTGGCGTCACCTGACGGGCGTCGCTTCCACTCCAGCAAGTTTTTATATCCTCCTTGCCGGTGTGTCGCCTCCACGCTTCGTTGCTGGTGCACGCTGTTCTCTTCAAAGTTTTCAATGAGTGCAAGTCTTGCCCTTGGATAATGGTTACCTCCTGCGTTGCCTACGGATGCACAAACAGGCTGAAGAAAGGTTGTGGCCTCACATTTCACCTGTAAGTGCATGAAATTTAGCGTGTTCTACTCGCGGTCATTTCAGCCGCATCGTAGTTGCTTGCAGGCCCGCGCATGAAAGAGCAGCAAAATGGCATTGTGTGTACGTGTGCCGCAGTTGATTGTCGTATATTTCTTGACAGGTTTCCAAGAATGCAGAAGTTCGGAGTCTTTGGGAGCGGGCAGTTCGCCGTGAAGGGTGGCGCGCTAAGGATGGAGACCGCCTGTGCTCTGTACATTTCACTCCTGAGTGCTTTGACCGCACTGGGCAAACGACGCGACTGCGGGTGGGAAGTGTGCCCACGTCGTTTCCAGCTTTTCCGCCTCATCTGCAGAAACCTGTGAGTATTACTGCCATCGTTGGACGAGAAGCGTAATGTTTAGCGTGCATAACGCTTGTGGCGTTACGGCCGCTACATAATACTTGTTCCACGAAATGTTGTTGCGGGTATACGTGACATTGATTGCGTGCCGAGAATTGGCGGTACTGTGGAGGAGTAGCTGTAGTTTTAGCATATCGTTACCGTGTTTGCGTTACCGTTTACCGCATTACCGGACGCCGCCGGCGAAGGTGAAGTTACCGGTAATGGTAACTGCTTCACCTTCGCCTTAACTGGTGATCAAGATACATATTTATTTATTTATTACTGCTGACCTGTTTACCAGGTCTTAAGCAGGAATGGGCATACAGCAATGTTTACTACAAAAACATTATTGACATCCACAGCATACTGACAGTGGTTACAATTCAATACTTAAAGGCACATCCGGCGAATGGAAAGTTATACCAGAGCGGGTGCATGTCCTTTTTGCTGGCATACAATGTCTCGTGCACGATTATGAAAAATCTTGTTACTTAATACATTTATTATTTCTTCAAAGAAAATGTGTAGCTTAATTGTACCCACATTATACGTGTGAGGTTTCATTTAGTTTTTGCGCTTGCTGCCTTTTTAGCTCGTCTGAGAAAACGTATGCTTTCAAACCCAGGTCAAACAGAAGCGTCCCGACCCCAAGTCTCGAGATTTCCCGGCCCCGCCTGGTCCTGAGTGTTCTGGGTTGTGCGACCTGCCTGGAGCTGAAAATTTTCCTGAAGACTCGCCAACCAAACAGTTCTACAAAGACAAGGTCCTTTCCTCACAAGAAGAGATAACCCAGTTGAAGAAGAAGGTCAAAACACTGCAACAAACTAAACGAAGGCTGGCCAAGAGAAATGAAACCGCCCAAGAAATCATCAAAGAAATCAGAGAGCAAAAACTCTTGTCAGAAGAAGGCTCGCATGTGTTTTCATCTGTTTTCTCGGATGACATTCAGCAACTACTTTGCAGGGTGGGCAATGAGCAGAAGGGCAAGTACCCACATGAGCTGCGAGCATTTGCACTGACTTTGCATTTTTACAGTCCAGCCGCGTACGAGTATGTACGATCCAAGTTAAACGAAGCCCTCCCATCCCAGCGAACACTAAGGGGCTGGTACAAGTCGATTCAAGGAGCTCCTGGCTTCACAGCCGAAGCATTTGCTTTCCTTGAGAAGTTTGCGGAAGCACGTGATGAAACCTTCTACTGCGCTCTCATTGTAGACGACATGGCCATCAGGAAACACGTAGAGCTAGTTGGAGATAAAGTAGTAGGGTATGTTGACTTCGGAACTGGGCTTGACGATGACGGTCTTCCTGAAGCTGCAAATGCGTGTGTCTTCATGATCGTTGGAATCAACGTCAGATTTAAGATGCCAGTTGGATACTTCTTAATAGACTCACTCACAGGAGCAGAGAGGGCCGAGCTGGCCAAACAGTGCATTGAGAAGCTTGCGTCGGTGAAGGCTGAAGTAGTCTCTCTCACATTCGACGGAGCCTCGTCGAATTTCACTATGGCCAGGTGTTTAGGTGCTCAACTTCGTGTTGACTGTGAGCAAATTTCTTCAAGCTTTGTGAACCCAGCTGACGATGCTAAGAATGTTTACATTATCCTAGACGCCTGCCACATGATTAAGCTTATTCGCAATTCCTTGGCGAACTTAAGCTACATTGTTGATGCTGAAGGAAAGCACATAAAATCGGCCTACATAGTGGCATTGGAGGCATTGCAGCGTTCCGAAGGGCTGCGGCTGGGCAACAAACTCACGAAAGTCCACGTGCAATGGGAAAAACAAAAGATGAAGGTGCGATATGCTGCGCAAGCATTGAGTTCCTCTGTGGCCGACGCCTTGGACTTCTGTGAAAATGTGCTGAAGCTACCCCAGTTCCGGGGCGCCAGTGCAACATCGAAGTTCGTGAGGGTCTTCGATCACCTGTTCGACCTTTTTAATTCTAGGAACCCTTTCGCAAGGTCGTACAAGGCTCCTTTGCGGAAGCAGAATGAAGCCTGCTGGAAGCCATTCTTTGCCTACACCCAAGCGTATATAAAGGGATTGAGAGATCCGGCTGGGCGGCCAGTTTTAGAAGGCTTGAAAAAAACTGGTTTTGTGGGCTTCTTGATCTGCAGGGCGAGCACTGAAAAAATGTTCGACGAGCTTGTTGGCCAGGGTAAGCTGAAGTACTTGTTGACGCACAAACTGAGCCAGGATGACGCTGAGAACTTCTTCGGATCTGTTCGTGGCCGAGGTGGGTATAACAACAACCGAACCGCTGCTCAGTTCATGGCTGCATACAAGCGTTTGCTGGTGCAAACAGAAGTGACGTCTTCTAGCTCGGGAAACTGCACCAAATACATGGTTTCCATCCTGAATGCCACTACTGTTGTCGCCCAGGTAGACGCAACAAGCGCGCTCACAGACATGCGCAGGTCCTCGATCTTGGAGCCTCACGATGACCACGACTACACGCACCCTGAAAACCTTTCTGCCGTAGTTGTTGCGGTGGTGCCTTATATCACAGGCTTCGTTGTACGCCAAGTGTGCAAGACAACAACATGCGAAGAGTGCATTGCAGCCCTGTACTCAGATGAGCTAGTTCCCCTAGTTGAGCAGAAAAACAGAGGTGGGCTTGTGTCCCCGTCCAAGGATGTCATTGGCTTGTGTGAAGCCGTTGAAAAGGGGCTGCGACGGCTACAGATTGAGTGTGGAACACTTCAAGCAGTTAACTCCCAGTCAAAGCATCTCGTTTTGGAAGTGCTACGACTGTCTGTAGAGGAAAACTGGTTTCAGAAGCTAGAGCAGCACATTCTTGACCTTGATCCCCTCGACAATCATATCTACAGCTTGTGCAAAAAAATTGCGGAGCTGTATGTGAAAATCCGCATCCACCATATGACAAAAGAAAGAAACCGCGAGATCATCAAGGACAGGGTCAGGCCAGTTCTTTCAAGAATGATCATTTTCAAACATCAGTAAGTCTCCCCGCACTGCTCGTTTCGGCTATACTGTTCGCATATATTTTTAATGTTTGTGTGATTGTGTTTTTTCTGCCATTTTCGAGTTTCTCAAAGCGTTATCGTAGGCCATTTTGCCACCAAAAAGCAAAGAATAAATGCTTACAACCTGACACAACTGTTTTTATTGCTTTGAAGACGCGAGAAACTGCACCTGCTGCTTAGATAAGCGCGAGCGCAGCTGTACTCGGCTGTTTCTTGCCTCTGCCAAGATGGCCGCCGGCGGCTCGGCGCGGCTTCACCCCCTCCCATGGGTAAGCATAGGCGGCTTCCACTCCAGCAGGTTTTTATATCCTCCTTGATAGCGCCGGATGATTTCTTTGTCAACACACACAGATACTGCCCAGTACATGGGCCTCTAGCATTTCACTTGTATTGAAATGTGATTGCCACGGCCAGAATCGAACCAGCCTCTTTCGGGTCAGCAGCCGAACACGATAACCACTGAGCCACAGCAGCATCAAAAGATACTCTTTGTACATAAGAGATGAATATTTAATAAGGATTGCAAAATACTAAAGTCCCTCGATAAATTCAAAAGTATCGAAAAGCTTTCATGAAGCCGACGGCGCCTGCGATTGGCTGATCTGTGACACGTGACCTTGCTACGCCATGAAGGTTCCCGCAGTCCGGGAGGAGAGCGCTCGCTTCGCCGGTTCCGCTATGCACGTTGTGCGGTGATTTCGTTCTGGAAGGTCCGATATGCCGTGTTGCTGTGCGTTTGGGTGCCGAAACCGGACGGAAGACGGCAAGAAGTTATTTTGCATCCCGCGAGGCAAGCAGAACATAACCACAAGAAAAGTGTGGTTGCACAGAATTGGACGGAAAGGTTTCGAACCGTCGGCCACTGCACGACTATGCGAGGTAAGTAACGCGACACAAAGGCGCAAGAAAAAGAATAGGCGTGCATGTGCCGAGCTGCAATAGCATTTTATTCGTGCGCGCTGGTTTTGATGGCCCACATTTGTCGAGATTATTCATCTTAGTGCTTTATGAACCCGCTGACGTAGGTCATGCACTACGAGCCTAGCATGCAAGTAAATAAAGTGAGGGAAGCCCACTAACTCGCTGACAGATATCCGCATTGTGTTGCACGCGACCTAAATTTCTCCGCCGTCGTGGTATGGCAGTTACTGCGGTTACGGTGCTCGGCTGCTGACCGGAAAGACGCGCTTCGATCCCGTCCTCGGCGGTCGCATTTTCGATGGAGGTGAAGTGCTAGAGGCTCGTGTACGGCGCGTATTCAGTGCACGTAATAGAATCCCAAGTAGTCGCGAAATTACCAGAGCAGTCCACTACGACATGCCCCTTACTCATATCGTGGTTCTGGCACGTAAAACCCCAGCAATTATTATTATTGTTATAGCGATAAACATTCATAAATTTCAGCAGTGAGTTCTACTATCTCTAGTTCTCTATCTCTGCGCACGTTGTTAACTTCGCTTTACAACATGTTCAGAAAGTCGTTTCCAACTCTGCTACTGGATCATTTCACAGAAGACCAGTTTGAACCGATTTTCTCAAGAATACCAGTGAAAAGAAGCTAAGGCCATTTGCGACGCAAAGCATCTTTTTGCATCGACTAGTTGCAAAACCACGCAAGCCACCCCCTTAAAGAACAAGAGTGGAAAGTACTGGTATGTTCACGGTGTTCATTAGGAAAAATGATCTTGAATGCTATTCATAGCGTTCAAGTCAAATTTGATTATTGCAATGAAAACAATCCTTGAGTTATCATTTGTCATTATGTTCATGTATCCTACCCAGATGACCCCAAAGTCAAGCAAAACACACAGGTCGATGTCGAACCCCAGCCAGTCGACACTGAGAATGGTAAGTTTCTCCCGTCTGTGAGCTCCTACCTTTCCATCAGCCGGTAAATTGCGTGCTTATGCTCTTCATCCATTCACATACAGACGATATATGCCGTGCAGGCAGAACAGAGATATTTTATATTTTGTAATTTACAATCTTTTTTTTATGCTGCAAAATATGGTTCAAACTTACCTGCATGTCTAATAAAGCTGTGTCTACAGCTGATCCAAGCAAACAGGCAGATATTTTGTGCGGCCCAAAGCATGTGTATTCCCCATGTGAGATACCAATGCCTCTCTACATTGCTGGTTGTCAACTTGCTTTGTGCTCTACGCAGATGTTCCTGATATGCAACTAGACCTACAGATCCCTGCTCCATTCCAGCCAGAAAGTACACAGGCTGGTGAGTTAAACAGTTTTGGAATTTTTTTGTGTGCCATCATTCAATGCCTCTTTTGCGCATAGCGAAATACTTACGGAAGCTGACACAACCTTTTTTTCAATGCAAGTTTCCATGCTACTAGGAGGTCGAGGCCCTTTGTTTCGTAAATAGCAATACATTATACCCGTAACAATACCGATTTGTGTGCAACTCGTGCAGAGTGAGAGAAAATGAACTGCATGAAGGGAACAAGGGAAAAGAAACATGCGGGAATGTTAGATATTCCTGAGCTTGTCTGATGTTCTTGTGTTGCGCTTCCCTGCTCTCATGCAGGTCATTTGCTGTCAGCAACGCATTCTTAACAATGCTATTTAAAACGAGGGGAGATATCGCACTGATAAAGAATACACATACAGAGAACAGCAAACAGGCTGTTCCGTGCATGCGCTTTCTATATCAGCGTGACATCTTCAATATCTAACATTCTAACAATACCTAACATTGACAACTGCTTTAGACCTAATTTCGGTGCACTGTTTCAGGCCACTTGATACAAGCAGCTCTACAGAAGAGGGTGGCCCAGCTTGAAATTGCACTTCAGGCGACGCGACGGTAGCTT